CTCCTCTCCCTCAATCTCCCCAAAGTCTCAGCCTGGTCTCCCTCTGCCGACGCACCGGCTGGCAGTCGACCAACCGGCCGCGAGCAGGGTCCAACTCTGAGAGGTGAAAGTGAGCGTCATCAGGGGGCTTTTATTCCGTCAGCCCCACACATTCCACCCCCTCGTGCTGATCACGGGTACCAGACAACACGGGTCAGCGGCCTGCGGCAGGCTGGCCGAGGGGATTAACTCCAGAGGCGCCTTTCACTCCATCGACAATTGCTTCTTTCTACTCAGCTGAGAATCAAAACCGTGCACTGCTTCAAACAGTTCCTATGCCCGTCGGCGGAGTGCTACCGGAAAGTTCCACGCCGGTCAGCGCTTCCGCTCAAGGCTCGGGAAGGGTTTCCTGGGGGCTCCGGGCGGCCGTTGACAAGTGCCCACTCTCCCCGGCCGACTGTCCGCTCCGGAGGGGACCTTGACAACCAGGTTCGAGGTCAAAATTAAGACTTAAAAGCAGGTGTTCTGAGGACACTTCATGCCTTTGGTGTATCCGTGGGGCATCACAAACTGAAGTGTGCTGACCTCGGCCCGCAGCGCTACCCCTCAGGCCCCCGAAACCCGGAAAGGGCCTCAGCCGGATTCGCAGACCAAGAGCCCACGGCCCGGCGACTCCCATGTGACTGCCACAGCGGCCACCCCACGCACCCTGCCCACAGACACCTCTCTGCTTGCCTTTCTTCAAAAGCCACAGAGACTAGTTCCTCTCAAAATATCAACCAGTTGATGAAACAGATTAAAAAAAAAAGCTTCTTCGAGCAGGAAGCAGACGCTGTGTTTTGTCCACGAATCTAAAAGTCCCTGATGAGGCCTGCAGGCACCTGCTGCTTCGAAAAACAAACCAGCAGGCCAGGGACACCCTCGTGATGACGGAGACAGGCCTGCGGGGGCCCGCGGGAGGGGTCTGCACTGACAGAGAGGGGTCTCTGCCGCAGCCTGACTCGGATGGCCCCCTACTTCCAGGACCTCTCGCTCCTGATGGAGAACGGGCATCCCAGGGAATACCTACCCCGCTTCGGGCGGGAGACTAACGCCAGAGAAATACTGGTGGCCTGCCTCAAGGTGGGGGGGGGGGGGGGGAGACCAGACTCCACACAGACGCATAATGAAGCAAAGACGGTTTTTGCTCTTTGTGATTCTTCGAGGTCTTGCAGGAGAAAAACATACTCTCAAAGTATTCAGCGAGGGGCTCGTGCGTCCCACCAGATAAAACACGTGTATGTCTTTCAATTGTGTAAGAAGCGCAAGACAAGCGGCCCAAGGTCGGGGATGTTGAAACAAACCACAGTGCCCGTTACTGGGCGGGAGGCGAGGTGAGGCCCGGCTCCGGCCAGGAGTCTGCCGGGAAGGGGAGAGGCCAGGGCCGAGGCTGTGTATGTGTACCGTAATATAGAGATTAAAAAATGCCAAAGGGAAAGAAAGAAAAGAGAGCACACAGCTGCCGTCCCCCAAACAGACCTCCCATCTGCCACCCACGATTTCCATGTCACCTTCTCCGGGCTCATTTGTACTTCATTAACTGCCATTGACTTAACAAGATTTATGCAAATGACACCATAGGAGCTCCCTAACTCCCACTGCAATCAAGTGATTATGTATGTACAACTCTCCACAGCAATGAAAAATTAATACGTGACAAGCCCACTCGCCGCTGAGCCGGGCCTCTGGCTTTTTTTTTTTTTTTTTTTTCTTGCTTTGCTTTTTAATTTTTATTCCAACAGACTTTATCTTATTAGTTAAAAAAAAAAGAGAGAGAGAGAGAGAGGAATAAAAATAAAGGAAAAACAGAACTCTCTGAACCAATTCTCCTCTAAGGCCCCAGAAAGGACAAAAAAAGGAGAGGTGGGCCCGGGTCCTCGAGAAACGAAATTACTTTGCAGAAAAATCAGTTATGTTCTTGATGAGGAATCTTTAACCGCGGAAAAGGGGAAGTGAAGGGATCCTCGCCTGTCACGATCCAGCTAGCTCCCACGCTGGGGGAAGGAGCCGCTGTTCCCACAATGAACGAGTTGTAAAACGTGAGCAGAACATGGTGAAAATAATCCACTGGAACGTGAGCGTTCCACAGGAACACAAGTCGGCTGCAGAGCGGGCTCAAGGCCGCCTTGGCTTGGGCCTTCCCGGATCCCCAGGAGGAGGGGCAGAAGGGAGCCTGCCTCGATCAAACACACCGGCCGGAGCGACACCCACCAGCCTCACCGGCCCCGGGGGGGGGGGGGGGGGGGGGGGGGGGAGGGGAGTGAGTCCTCCCAAGCCCAAGCCCGGAGCGCGAGCGTGGCCGCGTCGTTCCCGGAGGGACGTGTTGTGGCCTCTGGAAGTCTCAGACGTTTCTTCTTTGTAGGCAGAAGGTTTTTGTTTTTTTGTTTTAAGGTCTGTTTATTCTTTTGAGACAGAGAGGAGGTGCGGGGCGGGGGGGGGGGGGGGGAGAGGGAGAGTCTCAAGCAGGCTCCGTGCTCTCGGCGCAGAGCCCCACGTCGGGCTTGATCTCACAAACCGTGAGACTGGGACATGAGCCACATGACGCTTAACCGGCTGAGCCGCCCGGGCGCCCCTGGGCAGAAGGCATTTTTGTCTGAGGTCAGGGCTCACGTGTTTCATTTAAAACACGTCACTTTGCCTTCTAAGCTTTCTGAAGGTTTTTCCCCCACAGGCTGCGCAAGGAGCAGAGGCGCTGGGCTCCGAACCCTGGCCCCCTCGCTTCCCTAAGCCGCCCGGTCTGGGTTTGGACACAAAGTGAGGGCGACACGGCCACCTCAACGCGGCAACGTGGAGGGTTCAAGGGGACACGAAGGGAAAAGCGCGTAAACCGTAAGTGTCTTTTATACCTCTGCGGCCCCGGCTCCTCGTTTCCTCTGGCTGGAGTCGCGACGCTGGGAGGGTTAGGAATTCAGACCATCTCTGATGATCTCGGCTCCTTTATAAACACGGCACACACGGGCGTGGGAGACAAATCTATATGACCGTCTCTGGACCCACATCAATCCCGGGGACCCACAGAAAGGCTCCAACGAAAGAACCCCGAGCAGGACTGACTTGAAAATCCAGTGTTGCTGGAATTAAAAAAAATTCTCTCTGGAATGTCTGCATCCCAGCGTTATGGGAGACGCCGGTATCATCCAGAGCCCACTTAACAGATGAGGAATCTGAGGCCTGGAACATTCTGCCGCAGCGGGGGGGCTCTGACAGGTGTGCACTTCCGGGGAGGGGTCCACCCGTGGCTGCACGTGGGGGCAGCTACGGGGGCAGAGAACTGCACGTGCTCCCCAACGACGATTCCTCGGGAAATCAGACCATGATTTAGATTTTGACGTGATTATTCTGAACATTCACAATTGAAAGGCTTCCAAGGACTGGATGATACTCATTTTACGCTTGATGGTCAACTCCAATCGGCACACGTACGGAAAACCCGGCCCGTAAAGCACCCCCCACCCCCCGCCCACTGCAGACGAGCCGGGTAGAGATTGAGTGAAGGTTCCAATTACACCGGGGGCCTGCCCGGCTCGCGCACAGACAGCAGCCCCCTCCTCGGCAATAGGCGTGAATTGAGGAAACAGTCTGGAATTAAGTTTTAATATTCCCAAAAGGAAAGGTCCCAGGACCGATGTTTTAAACGAGAGAAAAAGGAGTTAAATGGTTTTCATAATTCTGGTTGAAACGGCGTCGGTGGCAGAAAGATCACACGTTGAAATCGCCTTATTAGACGGCTCCATTTATAAATGAAGGCACACAAAGAAAGAAAAAGTAACTGAACGTCTCTTGTGAAAACACCCCGTGGAGTGCCTGCTCGGGCCTCTCCCGGGATGCCAGGGCTCTAGCCAACCTGTTCCGGTACGTCCACACCGAACCCGCCCGGCCCCTGCGGCTGCATTCCTGATGGCGCAAAGGTGTGTGTGCACCAGACTCTGGCCCTTTGTGAGGGCGGCCGGGGCCGAGCCGGGCTGCCGAAGGGTTTGGGAAACGGCCCAGGTGCCCGCAGTAGAAGCTGACAGAGAGCGATCACCCAGAGGGACAAACTGGTCACAGCCGTGTTCTCAGGAGGCAGAGTTATTATTCTGCCCACAGATTTTTTTTTCCCCCCTCCTCTCTCTCTCAAGCAGAACGCACTCTCAATCAACTGGACTTCGCAAATACTTTCACAAAGTAAAAGACGCTATTTCCAGGAGCCACAGCGTTGGGTCCAAGTCTTTATTTTTATTTTCCTTGGGAACGTAACAGCAAAATACGTCACGTGAATTCCCACTTTACTTGAGACACAAAGTCATTTGGTTCCCGGTTTCTGGGCTAATGAAAACCTATTCCAGGCTAGCAACACAGGCCAAAACAAATGCTTGAATTCAAGTCCTGTTGTGTAATGAGGAAGTTTAATTAAGGCCCCACATTACAGCTGTAAATGTTCCTTTATATAATAAGGTCTAAATGAAACTGAACCTAATCAAAGTTACAATTCCTTCATTAGCAAATTACAAACAAGAGCGCGCAGCTGACACACCGGCTATGATTATCACAACTAATTGCCTCGTTGTTACAAACCAGCCTGAAACAGTGTTCAGATGTCCGTCTGCGAGAGCAAATTAGGGCCACATCGGGCTATTCCTGTGATCACAAGGGGCTCTTGTACAGCGATCTGATTTACCCCTGTCGACTGGCGGCCAGCGGCCCAATCAAAGCCGAGCTACAAAGGCGGCCTTTGAAGCCAGCTCAGCCTCGAAACACTCTCCATATGCAGCGGGCAGACTGTACTTCATTAGATCTGTTGTCACATTTTCCCTCTTCTTATTCTAATGATCCTATTTTAATACACACAGGAACCTCTTCTAATTGATGTCAAGTGAGTGACTTCTACATTCATCAACAGAGCACATCAAACAAACCTTGGTGCACGAGCCAGCATCATAGCAAGGAGAGACCCGAGGTGTGCCTCCAGCGCCAGGAAGGGAAGAAAGGGGGAAACGGCGTACCTGTTTAATTGGGATGGCTCGACCGCTCCCGATGCTGTCTGCTCGGCCCTCCAGGCCTTTCTTCTCTTTGTCTGGGTCACTCCCTTTCCGAGACTGCAAAGCAAAAATAAAGTTAGCATTTGGGTGAGGGCTGCGGTTCACGGATCTGCAGGTCTGCCCTTATTTGAATAGTTTCTGCACACCCATACGGAGAAGCCACGGACGGCGTGCGCGTGTATGCACGCACGTCCGAGAAGCAGACCGTTTAGTACTTTGAATTTCCACTGATCTGTCATTTTACACAGGCTTTTCTCAACTTTTCTCCCTACTTTTCCACCGCAGAATTACCTTTTAATTCTTTTTTTTAAAAGAGTTCAAAATTCAATTACCGGAAACCAATGGACCATACAGCGAAGCAACACCCAACAGGAAAACACGTTCTGGGCCTGCAGTTAATACAGCCAAGGAGCAGAGGCCTCCTTCTGTGCAGCTTGGTTGAGAAACCGACCACGTAAACGTATATATTTAACGAACGTCTGAAGGATTTCTAAATTCTGCTAACGACGGAGCTGGGCGATTGAACAGTACACCCTTCATTCGTATCTAGGTGCCGTTAATGTTTTTTATTTTTTTAAATTTTTTTAGTGTTGCTTTTGGATGGTTAGAAAGCAACACCCTCCACATCCAACTGGCCTGCCACACCGCAAAACATAACAGAGGGGAAAAAAGTTGAAAGTATCTCTTCTGGCAAAATATCTGCGCTTGGGAGAAAACGAGCGGCTTGGTCGGCCAGGTCGGTCGAACAGCCTTGTTGGTGGAGTTGTCCACGTTCCGTGAACGGCCCCGGGCGCGGGCGACCGGCGGGGAGGGTGGCCGCGTGCTGCCCGGGGAAGACGCGACCCCGCGCACGCCGTGACTTCGGCAAGTGGAAGGCGCGCCGCGGCTCAGTCTCCGTCTCTCGATGGCATGAGAGAGAGTGTGAGCACAATGATTTTCTGACAGATTTATTTTATTATGAGAGAAAGATCTGAAACTCGTCCTCCTTAATAACTGTGCTGACAAGTGACAACTTCACTCCATTACTTTTCAATGGGAACATTACTCACGCAATATTGAAAATGGAGAAACATTTTCATGTGCTTTTCAAATCGGAGATGATATATGAAATGAATAGACTTTGCGGTGTCCAGTGCTGCAATGAAAAGCTAATGAAATCCAGTTTCCGAGGGGTGTAAGACAGGGCAGCTGAGTTTTTTTAAATATTAAAAGGGGCAACGTCACGGGGTGAGAGAGGAAAGTCCCTGCGATAAACTCAGATGTGGCGCTTCAAAGAGCATGTGTGCTCGTTAGGGAACATGCCACATTGCTGGTGTAAGAGCCAACGTTCACTGAACACCTACTACGTGCCAGACACTGTGCACCGTTTTTCTTTAGGAGGCTAGAAGCCTGGCATGGGGTAACAGGACATAAAACCAGCAGCAAAGAGAAAGTTGAAGAAAAATGTAGAAGAAAGTTTGTCCATTTGGGCTAAAAGGGAGCCCATTCCTTGTCATGAATTTTAGCCACAGGGTAGGGGCTCACTCTTCTAATTAATTCTTTAATTAATAACGTACAGTTACAGCCATGAAATAGCCCTAAATTCTCCTTTTGCCATATCCTAACGTGCTCGGGCAAGTCGGAACTCGAGGTTTCTATTTGTAAAGTAAGATTCAAAGCTCCCAGTGATAATATTTAAAAAAAAAAAACCAAACTTTTTTTTTTTTTAAATCAACAGAGATCATTAATGATACTTCTGAAATCTGGTTAATTCCAAATTTCCCAATTTGAAAAATCCACCTTCATTATTCTCTATTAACCAGAATAATTAACAAAACAAACAAAAAATTAACATCTTCCTCAAGGCAGCACATCTGTCCCCACAGTCCCCCTGTCTCTGAGCAGGAGACTTCCAGATCCTGCAGAAGCAGGTTCTGGAGAACCAAACTCAGTGTCTGATCATGCACTGGGAGGTGAATGACCTTGAAAGTTAGTAAGACTCCACCGCCAAAATGCCCCAGAGGCTCCCGGACGGCTCTAAGGTTCTGGTGGAGACGGCCAGAACACGGACGTCTCAGGGACCGCGATCCTCAGTCCCACGACTGCTGTCCCCCAGCAGGCTGCAGTACCCGCCAACAGGACAGAGACCCAAGGGCCACGCGGAGACAAACCCGCCGGACATAAGCACCGCGACGCACGTATCTTCAGTAAGATCCCCTGAGCCATCCGCCAGCCCTGAGACGACACCAGCCGCAGCGCATCCTTGTGCTCGTGCTGAAATGGCTCCGTGACAGCCTCCGGTACAGAGCGGCTGCGGGCGCCAGCTGCGCGTGTCAGGAGTCACCGCGCGACGCGACCGGCCAGGTGCGCACAGCTGGCGCCCAACAAGGGCTGATCACACTCCGCAAGGGGGTCGGCAGCGGCCCGGAGAGAGACCTCCACCCTCGCCGACACCGAACACGGGGGCCAGGAAGAGAGAGACAGCCCCGTCGCCACCTCCATCTTTGCAAAAATGTTTACCTTTCCCCACGTGATGCAAGAAGCCATGGAGGGGACCCCCGTCGCCAGCTGCGCACGGGGACAGGAAGCATCGCTGAAGAGCCCTCACCGCCGGACAGAAGCCTGCTTTTCCCCTGCAAGCCATCACCAGTCAAAGGCTGCCGGGCCACACGGTGACAGGACCCACACTCTCCTCTATGACACACAAAACACAAACGCGTCTATTCACACCATGAACCTCGCTGCCTGTTTTTACGGAGAGTTTCTTGGAGTCTTTTCACAACGTGGTCACTGGGTACGCCTGGCTCTGTTCTAATGGGATCGGCGTGACAGGGTGAGGTTTTGAAAGGATCGTGTCAATGACACTGTTATTTTAACATCTGAAAAGAGGCAAGGCAAGGCAGCGCGCAGTCACAGACACATGCCTTAGTTGCAGACACGGATACAGACGATAAACACCAAACTCAAGGTCATGCTGATCCTCAGACACGTTGCAGGGGTGGGGGTGGGGGGGGTGGGGGCTGTATTCAGGACGCACACCTGGAGGGCTTCAACTTTTACCCAAGACGTGTTATTTCTTTAGTAGGAGCAGCAGCGGCAGCAAAATGCTTGTGTTTGATGAGCTGGGTGGTAAGTACGTGCACGTGTTTTTTACTCCTCTGTATGAAAATATTTTCTCGTACAACATCTTAACCACATGTACTTTAGTGCAACGACACGGAATTAACTGTCCTAAGAACCCATATTAGAAAACCAAACACTGAATGGACGGAGCCTTTTAATACTTCTTTTTCTCAAAACCGTGGTTTTTTTTTTTCCAAAGCAAAAAGCAAAGTTAAGGTATTATTTACCTTCTGATGGATCCCTACTGCAAATGTAACACGAACTGGCTACCACAGGAGCGATTTTAAGTTTATTCTAGCTTGTGTGTTTATCCCAGTTTATTCTAGAGTGCATGTGATTTCTGTCTAAAAACGCACGTATATGCAAACAAACATCTGTGACTGCAAAACGTGAGCCCGGAGTGGTGGGTACGTTGCAGGTCTATTCTGTGAAATTTATAAGCACGGTATTTGAAAAATGATGTGTGTACTACTTAATTAACTCTGGCCTCTTTATGACGGTCTAATAAATAAGGTGGACAGCGCCCCTTCACCCGGGTGTTACAGTTCCAGGCTGTAGGGATCTTTACTAAGATGTTCGCCATAAGGCACATCTGTCCTCCTACTAGACGCTTTTAGATAAATACACGTTTTGCCAATTTGAGCCCATAATTACCAACGATTGCCAAGTATGAAGAGCCTGTGAATTTTACGTATTTAAAAATAGGTGCACGCTACTAGTAATGAGAATCTAGTTCCCTAATTGCTACAATTTCAAAATTAATTTGCCGCTTTTCATTCCTTGGATGACACTGACATCTAGTGGAGTTAATATTTCTAAGCTCTTCACCTTAAAAATACACACACGTCACCATCACCACCGCCACGGATTCGTTCGACGACAAACCCAGTAGTGGCCCACATCTGGCTCCCGCCTGGGATCGCAGCCTTTCTCCTTAAACACCACGAGGCAAACCCACCGTGGCGTTGGCTTCTTTCATGACCCCAAGTTTCTGTTCCCGCCAAGAACAGCAGCGCAGCTGGACTCAATTTCTGAAACGGTTTACTCTCAAGACTGTTTCCCAACATTTAAAGAGAGGGTGGGCAGGAGTAACTAACAGGTTCTCGGGCAGGCTTCTGCGTTATCAGATACGCTGCTCCTGGCATGACGAAAGGGGGTTTTCAGTAGCCCTCAGGGGGCACTTTGCTGGCTCTGGCACCTGCCTCGCCTGGCCGGGACAGCTGGGGGTCCGGCCTCCTCTCGGACGCACGCACGGCCCAAAGCAGCAGCGAAAAGACCATATCCTCACCTCTCTGCTCTCTCTCGCCCCTTCTTCTTCTCCACAACACTTTCCCTTGAACGTGGGTTGACTCTCGCAAGAACTACTCCTGACAGAGAGGAAAACCAGTCTCTGCAGACAGCAAGGAAGTATGTATCAACCGAGTTATTATTACTCGCATTCTTCCTGCCTTAAAGTTTTCTCCTTTGTAAGCGACCGGGGTTGTCATGGTCACCTAGTGGGCAGGGCCAGGGATGAGATTTTCTGGCACGTTCCAACTCCAGAGCCAGCCTCGTAAGGGGCAGGAATGGGGATGGGCCACCGCTCTCTTTATCGATAGCCCCCTTTTTAACGATATTCCCTGGCTTCTCACCTCTTTCCTTGGAATAGAGACCAAAGCCAGTGACCGGTAAATGTGACCCTGGGAAATGACGGTGAGCCTGAGTGTCCTTTCTTCCTGCTGGGCCCTAACAGGTGTGGCAAGGATACAGAGAACTTCCTGGTCTGTGTTCGAAGCCCTCACTGCTCCCTCACTCACGCCCGGGGGGCGTCCTGCTCACCGCCGACCCTCCCCGCGCCTTCGGGACTTGGTGTCCCGAGTCCACGAGTCCCAAGTGAGCACGCAGCCTGTCTGTGGGTGACATCTCCGCAGCCAAAGACCCTGGCCTGGGGTGCACGGGGCTCCCAGTGTCGGGCCGAGGTGGGGACTGCTATCACTCTTGGGTGTGTAATTTCACTACGCGGCCTCTGAAGCCATGAACGAATTTAAGCAAACCGGACGCCCGCCTCCCCTCCCTCCCAGGCTGTCACGTGGTCCTGCACCTGCTTTTGCTTTGCGCCGTCCGAAATCCTTTTTCTGACTGCAACAGCACCGAGAGAAAAACAAAGGCCAGGCCACGAAGGCCCTTTGCCCCCACGGAGGATTCCTCCAGCAGCACTGTCCACAGAGAATGCTGCAGTTTGCAGCTCAGAGAGGCTAAGCAGCTCGCCGAGGGGGACCAGCGGCCAGCAGTGGAGGCTGGGGTCCGAGCCTGGTCTGTCTGGTCCTCGCTCTGTGCCTCCCGCAGCAGCAGCATCAGGCAGAACCCACGCGGTACGGCACAGAAAAGGGGCGGGCCCGTTGGCAGCCGACCTTGGCGGTTATGACGATCCAGTGGGAAAGTGGCCTCGAACGTGGTAGGAAAGGTGCGGGGGGTGTTACCGTGCTCGGCAGCCACACAGGTCACCAGAACGCCATCTCTAAATAAGGGCAGCAGGTGAGCAGGGCCCCCAGCCACCCCTGCAGAGCCCCCCTTTAGGTCAAGACAGGAAACACTGGGCTTATCCGCACCTCGGTCAGCAGCAATCCACCAAAAGGACAAGCCCAGTGGGTTAACACGGGGCACCAACCGACATTAGGGGCCGGGTGACTCTCTGGCGTAGGGCTGGCGGGTACTTGTAGGATATTTAGCAGCAACCCCGGGTGCTACCCATGACCCGACCGGCTCCCAGTTGTCACAACTCACAGTTTCTCCAGAAACTGCCAAATATCCCCAGGAAGCAAAAACACCCTGGTTGACAACCACTACGTTAAAAGCATATACTTGGGCACCTGGTGGCTCAGTCAGTTGAGCATCCGACTTCAACTCAGGTCATGATCTCACAGATCGTGGGTTCGAGCCCCGTGTCGGGCTCTGTGCTGACAGCTAGAGCCCGGAGCCTGCTTCAGATTCTGTGTCTCCCTCTCTCTCTGCCCCTCCCCTGCTCGCACTCGGTCTCTCTCAATAATAGTCATAAGATAAAATAAATAAAACAAAACAAAAGCATGTATTTTTAATGCACAGACCGGGTCCCAAGAAAGAAAAATGTTCTTCTCAAGGCAAACAACTCCAGTCACAGGACATGTGTTCTGCCTGGAGTTCTGGGCTCAACTGCAGAGCCTTTCACGATTGATTGGTAATGTCTGCCGTGTGTACGGGAAGGGATTCAGTAGTAGCGCCTTTGCCTCCCCCCTAGTTCAGGGGTTCTCTGCCTCCCAATCGTCCAGGGAGCTTCTAAAAACGACACATGCCTGGGGCCCACATACAGGCCCTGAGTTCATAAATCTAAGCCCAGAGAGCTGATTTACAGTTTCTAAAAGGCTCGGTAAGTGACTCTGAAGAAGAGTCCAAGAGGAGAGCCTCACGTCCGCCAGCCTCTAAAAACACTGAAGGCTCCTGGTGCCGGGAGCCACCCCCCCAGTGGTAGATTCTCAGGCGCTACAGCCTGAGAAGAAGGAGGGGGAGCTGTGCATCGAAATGGCTTATGAGTCTCACATGCAGGTTAGAGGCACACGTCTGGGAATTGTGGCACAGTTCTGTCACCTCCTCGCAGCCAACGTGACCGGTCTTTCTCTGGAGACGGAGACGATCACGAGGTCGTAAATCCTGTCCACGAGTCCTCGCTTTTCCCTGGGACACCCGCTCCCGAATGCCCCGCGCCCCGCGCCCCGCGCGTTTTACTCAGTACTCCAGCCTCTGCCTCTCATCGTTTTCCCAGGCTTCCACAGAAACCAGCGCTCCGCTCCTTAAGTCGGCGTGGATGCTACCAATGCTTAGTGGGGATTCTACAACTAACAGGTGGACAGGAACTGAAGCTGTGGGGAGCCTCCCTGCAGCCCCCTCCCGGGGACGACACTCACGGTGAAGAGGTTGGACCGGCGCTTGGACTGCTTCCGGACGGGTGTGGGCGTGTTGGCCGTGGGAGGGACGTCGATTCGAAGCTCCTTCTGGCTGGTGCTCGGCGTCGACGGGACGGAGGAGGAATAGTCGCTTAAGCTCCCGCCTCCGTTACTCGTCTGCAACAACGAAACACCAGGGTTTTACTAACGGCACGCTCCAGGGGCCCAACGCCGCCACCTCGGTGGGGCCATAAGCGACAGGTCAGCACGTCACGCCGAAGAGACGCCCGCGAGACAGGCCAGATAGCTTCTCAGACGCGGCAAGGTGATTAGCATCACGTAGAACACGGCCTAACTCTAGAACATCCCTATCTTCTCGCGAAGTCGTTTTTTCCTAAGAAAAGTGACTTAAGAAAGAGAAGTCTCTGTCATTTGCTTTAAAAATGGTTGGGGCGCCTGGGTGGCGCAGTCGGTTAAGCGTCCGACTTCAGCCAGGTCACGATCTCGCGGTCCGTGAGTTCGGGCCCCGCGTCGGGCTCTGGGCTGATGGCTCGGAGCCTGGA